TCAAGTGCGTTCAAACTTGAAAACGTCTGTTGATTCGATGAAGTTAACTTATGATAAGAGATCTACTGAAGTCAGCTTTGTACCAGAAGACAAGGTATGGTTGTATAATCCCAGGAAGACCAAAGGGAAGTCTCCTAAGTTGTCTTCTCCATGGGAAGGCCCATATGACATAGTGGATCGTCTCTCAGACGAGACTTTCCGGGTAAAATGTGGTCGGCGAGGTTAGCCGAAAGTGGCGCATGCCAACAGGCTTTGGCGTTATCACGGTCCAGGACATTTCAGTAGGGACGAAGTGGACAACAGAACAAATGATGTGCTGAAGACGTGCCACATGAAGAAGCCACCGTCGAAGAAGAAACTCTACTCAGTTTTGAGAAGGGAAACAGTGAAGCTCTTGATGAAGTTACTACCACTTATGTGACTGTTATCGATGATAGAACATTTCCTGATGAAGCAGATGAACCTCACGTGAAGCAGAAGCCAACGAGACGGAGACCAGTATGGAAGAAGATACGTCCCGTAAAATTAAGAGACTTTGTTGAATTGTAATTTTGTGTTTGTAATTCTGTACATTTAATTAAGTTATTGTTATTGGTTTAATGTAAGTGGCTATTGTTCGGGACGAACAATACTAAGGAGGGGGCAGTGTTGCGTCAGCGAGGTCACGTGACTAGTATCACAGCCACTCCTTCTCGAACCTTCATGAATTATCGGGAGACTACTAGATTGGGATAGTCTGGTATATATAAGACGCTCACAACGTGACGTAGCAGTGAGTGAGTAATTGAACTGCAGTCAGAGAGTATTGTTGAAGGCCTAAACGAAGTCTCATATATAGTGAGACGTTCGTTGTTATAACGTTTGTTATAGCGCGACTGTTGAAATTAAGTGTATCGCAAAGTTATATTCAGAAAGAATAAACCAGTTTTATTTAAGAAAGGACTTGTGTCGCTAAAGTTTCGTCGGAACGAAGGTACAGAAAATTAACTAACGAACCGAGACGTTACAGTACAGTATTTTTCATTTTGTCGAATTTAAATTTTTATCCATTACCCCAACTTAACATCTCCACATCCTCGGTGGAAAAGTCTGAATTCAACACAAATTAATAAGTAAAGTTTAACATGGAGCCTATTTATAAAATGGTTTTAACCGAGGCATCCTCTAGTAATAAGAGAGCAAATATCGCAATCGAGTAGATTTCTTTGTTATTGACGTCACCATTAATCGTACTGTGGGTAGAGGGCGCATACTGACATTGCTCTCTTTAATCAAGCAGGAATGGCTGACACCAAGATTTTCTGAAAGATCATCGTCTGTTAATTGTTACGACGAAATTTATAAAAATGGATTACCTTTCTAAGATATAAAACAATAAGATTAAATACACAAAAAACCTCTTCTCAAATATTTTATTTAGTTTTCTTTGACAATTGTTAAAACTAAGCCATTTTTCTGGATCATTTGATGTTCATTATATATACAAAATTACATCGAATAATTAAACTGGACAAAAATATTTTATGAACAGCAACCATATTTTGGTTGGTTAGCTAAAAGTATTGTTCTGTAAAGTGCGTGTTTTAGTCCAATAGGTGCTGTAAATGCCCGCAATCTCAAATACTACTGTGTTCCAATATTATGTTATTGTTTTTTTTTTAGCAGAGATTAATGTTGAATACTTGTTTGGAACCACTGTTTTGAAATCTAGATAACTGCATTTGCCTGCAATTATGTTAAACATTCCGATTGATTATATTGATTTAGTTGTATCTGAGAGCTTCAAATAATATTCTAAGTTTCTCTTAATTGATTTCCGATATTAAACGAAGAAATTCAATTATTTAGTTTGATATCATATGCAGAATTTGAGCCACGACTGTTCTGTTATATATATGGGTAAGTAGAAAAATTGTGTGTTACAGGTAGGTACAGCGATAGAAAATAGGTAATCATACATTAGAAAATCAATTCCGTTATGTGTAATATAACTCAGAAGATATTCTATAGAATATATACGAGAACTATTTATCTGTACGGTCCAGTCACTTAGTGTTATGCTGGCAAATAGCGAGGTTAATGGGTTATTTGAGCAGCACTAGTACAAGTTCGAGTAATCAAAAGTGCTTAAAAAAGGGACAATATAATGTCATCATCCGTATCAAGTATGTATCATAAACCAAATCAAGCAACAACCTGCAGTTTTTACCGTATCAAGTACGTATCTTATATCAAATCAGGCAGCGACCCGCAGTTTTTACCGTATCAAGTACGTATCTTATATCAAATCAGGCAGCGACCTGCAGTTTTTACCGTATCAAGGACGTATCTTATATCAAATCAGGCAGCGACCTGCAGTTTTTACCGTATCAAGTGCATATCTTATACCAAATCAGGCAGCGACCTGCAGTTTTTACCGTATCAAGGACGTATCTATTTCCAAATCAGGCAGCGACCTGCAGTTTTTTACCGATCAAAGTCGTATCTTATAC